ACCCCCTAGTCCCAGCGTTGCCCTGGCCCCTATCGCTTACCACAGCCCTAGTCTTGAAAGGTTTGTGAAGTATTGAGGAGTCTTATGCAAGTTTTGTTCATGAATGCAAAGTAAGTTAGTTTATTGTTTAAAGTGAGGGTGCTCAAACCCAAAACCATGGCAGCTGGTCTTCAGAGCTCCCCACAGTTTGGGAAATTTGGTGGTGGGGGAGCAGTGGCAATTAATACTGCCACACATCCCCTGCTGACAAATTTGCAAGGTCCATGAGGCTAGATCCAGACCGGACTGTGGCCTTTCTCCCCGCACAGCTGAATTGAGACCCAATCCTCACCTCATACAGCACATGGGGGGGTAGCCCATGCCCCTTCCCCCCAACCCTCTTTCCCCCCACCACTACATGGTCAGATTGGGGCTGGGCCACGTCTGAATCCAGCGCACTGGCTGAATCCAACCCACAGATGAACTGGGAACAGTCCATCTGTTCCACAGGGCAGCAAGGTTGGTCACCACTCATTTAAGCATGTGTTTTTAAATAGAAACCTTCAGATAATTTTACATAGGAAGGCTACGTTGTTTTGAACTTCCTATTTGGACAGTTAGATTCACACCTTTATAAAAATGCCTTCCAACTCACTGCTTGCTATATTCCAGATACAGTTGCCTTCAGTTTATCCAAATGACAAGAAAAAAAGAATTTACTCAATTTGTAGATTTAGGATAGTTTATTGTCTGCCTGTTAAGAGAGAATTTCATTTCATTAGCTTCATCCCATTAGTATTAGCATTTTAAAAGAGGCGAGTGTATGCTGCATTCCGTATCCTACTAGTTTCTCAGTTTTGTCTCCAGGGAAAACTAAGAGCCACTATGATTTTTTTTCCATGAAATCAAGGACTCTTCTCTTCTTGTGAAATACATAACAGCAACCATGTATGACATGGTTTCAGTTCTTTGCTCAAAAGAAAATCTAATTCAGAAGATTTGCTAATGTTAGCATTTGAATATTCCCAAGTTACTTAAAAACATATGGTCTGTGATGTGTGTGTGTATGTAATAAAAGATACAGAATTTTTATAAGTGCTTCTAGCAAGTTCTCTCCAGACGTAGCTTCATAAGACCATAGTTTAATGAGTCTTGAATTTCCAACCACATCCTCAGTTGAATCTCTAACCACATCCTGCAGTTTAATAATGGAGTGAATCAACAAAGCCTTCCATCAG